AGGAGCCCTCTGAATGTAAAAGAAGTACTCAAAGATTTCATATGACATAAAAATGTATAATTATTTTTATGTTTTTGTGAACCTGGCGGTGAAACCCTGCACCTTCACACGGACCTACACCCCCAGTCCTTTTTGCTTTTATGTTTCATTTTGAGGCAGGGTCTCACTAAATCCCTAAATTACGCAGACTGCTCTTGAATTCAGGATCCTCCCACTTCGGCTCCTCAGAGAGCCGGGGTTACAGGCATGTGCCTGGCTGTAAAATATCTTATTAATACATTTTAAATTAAATGTTAGTGACTGTTACATGGGTGGTGCTAAGCTGGGTTGACAAACGTTCTCTGTGAAGGCCCAGAGAGCAAATATTTTCAGCCTTGTGGTCCATCTGGTCTCCATCGCTTGTTTTGCGATGTTGCAGCCCAAAATCAGCCACAGATAGTGCAAAAACAGGTGGCCTGTGTTCCGATGGAATTGAGGTAAAAGAAAAACCTGGGATCAATTTGATCCTAGCTGTAGTTTGCCAGTCCCTGAGTTAAATTTATAAAAATATTAAAATTTATTTCACTTGTTTTTTTTAAACTACAAAAAAAACTTGTGGCTGCTGGATCTCACATTACCCGTTGGCTCCGTGTGTTTATGTTCAACAGGGCTAATCGAAACACATTACCAGTATTAACACTGGTGTTAAATGCCACCCTGGAAGAAGGGTGTGTGAGGGTATGTGCGTGCGTGCACACATAGACATGCGTGTAGACATGAGTTACCATGACAGTGGAGGGACCTCCCTGGCCTGTGTACCCATTGCTGAGGGTACAGCCCAAGGGTAATGCAGCCCTGGATGCTACTTTATTTATTTTTTTGCTGGCTCGGCCCTCCCTGAGGACGGTGTTGGTGCACTACGTGGTGCCGGAGAATCGAACTCCTATCCCCTACGCCTGCCTAAGCTTGCCTGAGCAGGCGCTTTAGACAGATGAGCTATCTCACCAGGCCCCTTGTCTACCCGAGGCATGTATCTGGACCTTCTGAGTTTCCCATGAGACCAAAGAGAAGTTCTCCAAAAGGCCACCAGGTGGCGCTACCAGACCACGTGCTATGATGGTTGACCCACAGGAAACCATTCCGTGGTTCTGCAGCCTTTTGGCTGCGTGGTGTTGGCCTTAGGTTTCCTCCCCAGTAAAATGGGACTAGAACAGATTCATGAGAACACTGGAGCAGGCAGACCATATTTGAATTCTGTCTCTACCACCACCCACTGTGATTTTCGTGGGCCCTAGATACTTTTCACGAGACCCTTTCTCCATCATAAAATACTAAAAAATATATTTTACAACCATCTTGTTATAAAGAAAGCATATTAATATTGTATGTCAAGATTTTTCTTCAACTAAAAGTTATCATGTTCTGCAACCCCTAAAATCACTGCGGGCCCTGGGCGCTGGACCTACCATGCGTGATGGGTGAATTAGCTGGGCTCTGTTCCTCACTAGCCGTGGGAACTCGAGCAAGTTACTGAACTTTTCCGGGCCCCCCTTTCCTCTGTACAGAATGGGGGTGGCCTCAGACCCCAGCTTCTCGAGCTGGAGTTGGGGTTCCGAGAGATTGTATATGCCATGCCTCTTTAGAACGCAGTATAGACAAGCAGCAGCTTCTGCTTGCTATCCTTGTCTTCAAGGCTATTTCCACTCTAAGCTCTACGAAACGACGAAAGGATCTCAAAATATGTAGGAATCTCATCTCAACACAAGTAAGTCAGAAAAACAAAATGAAGCTGCCAGGGTATTTGGTGGGAAAAATACAGTCTTAGGGACTAAAGGGCAGTACGAGTTTCTGCCGATGACAAACACATGCTCCTCCCCACCATGGGGAACCCACGAGGAGAAGGGACTCAGGGGGTGCCACTCAGCCAGAAGTTAAGCAGCTTGATGAAGGTGTGCTAGGCGAAGGGACCCCAGGAAAGAGGCGTCTGCGCATGCGTGTGTGCGTGCGCGTGTGCAATTTGTGCTCACATATTCTCGCTTTTTCCATTCCCTTTATTGCACTGTGGTGAGCATCTCTTTGAAAATATGATCTGTGGTGCATGACATGGGACGACTGGCTCCTTTGAGACTGTCAGGGCGCCTTGGGGGCTTGGTCAGGAATTCCAGCTCCTTCAGGTTCCCCAGGAGACTTGGCCACCGGTGCAAGCGCGAGCTTCTTAGTGACACACTTTCCACCCACTCGCCCGCGTGGGCCCAGAGCCTTTTCTCATTTTGGGAGGGGCGGGGATGTGACCTTCAGTTCGTTGCCCTTCCCTGCCCTGGCAGCTGCTCTCTGTATTTGTCTTTTCCAAGCCAAAGGAGAGATAGGAGCCAGGCTGCTGACTCAGAGGAAGGAGGGACAGAAGAAACAGAGTGAAGGTCACTTGGGAGGGTTTCTCTGTTGGAGCCAAGAAAGGGGTATAACAGGAAGAGGTGCCGCGGAGGAGGATATGACACGGGCGTGGCGCGCTCTCTCTCTCTCTCTCTCTCTCTCTCTCTCTCTCTCTCTCTCTCTCTCTGTATTTTAGGGAAGGGTCTACAGGGTGTTCAGGGTCTCACTACTAGATTGGACTCATAGTGATCCTGATCCGTCTGTTTACAGCCTCCCAGGAGCTGGGATTACAGGCACAAGCCACCACGCCCAGTCTCAATCACCATCTCAGGGTGCCCCAGGGTGGGGCCAGCATGGCAGGTCCAGAGAGAGGACCCTTGGCCCCTGCGCCTGCTTGCAGGTGCTTTAATCCACTGAGCTATTTGGTTGGCCCTGGTATGGCTATTTCTCAAAGTTCATTTGCCAAAATTCTTGCTGTGGCGAATGACAAAGCTGTGGAACCTCAGCAAGGTAACAACTCTTTTTAAGTAGTTCATGGAGAGCAGTATATACCCAAAGGCTAAAAGCTGCCCATGCTTGACCCAGCAAGTCCTATAGCTAAAAATATGCCTGCATTTAGTGAGGGCTCACTGGGTATCGGGCATTCACGGCGTTAGATCCACATTGGCCTAAACTTGACCTATAAGTAGATTCTCTTAACTTAATTCTACATACATGGAAAGTGAAAGTAAGTGGCCAGCCTGCTCCGGGCAGCCAGTAGACAGCACAGACTGAGTGTAAAGTCTCCATGCTGCCAGCTAGGGTGGCAGATGCTTGTACTTGTAAATCCCAGAACTCAGGAGGCCGAGGCAGAAGGATCACTGTGAGTTTAAGGCCAGCCTGGGCTACGCAGTTCAGGGACAGCCTGAACTATATAGTGAGACCCTGTCCCCACACAACAATAGCAACAGAGAAAGAAAGAAAGAAAGAAAGAAAGAAAGAAAGAAAGAAAGAAAGAAAGAAAGAAAGGAAGGAAGTTATCACCCTGCCCATCTTCTCACTAAAGATGGCTGAGAAAGTGAGTTCAAAGTCTGGTCCTCAGTTTACCTTCCTTGAACCCACCCAAACATGAGCTAGATGAGAACTCTTGTCAGAAATGCAGATTGGGGCTGGCCAGATAGCTCAGAGGATTAAAGCACCTGCTTAGGCAGATGCAGGGACTAGGGTTTGATCCCTGTTGTGCGGTGCTGGCCCCACCCCTGGGACACACTGAGATGGTGAATGAGACTGGGTGTAGTGGCGTGTACCTATGATCCCAGCACTTGGGAGGCTGAAAACAGGAGGATCACTACAAGTCTGATCTGTGTAGTGAGACCCTGTCAACCCTGTACTAAAAAAAAAAAAAAAAAAAAAAAAAAAGAAAGAAAGAAATGCAAGTTCCCAGGCCCTGGCCTTGCTCTGTGGAGACAGACTGACAGACTGGAATAAACATGACAACTGGTTTCCTGTACACTAAGCCTCAGATGCGCAGGACGAAGCCAAGGCAGAGAGGGTCAGTGTGGTTAGGGCATAGTCCCCAAGTGCCCCAGATGTGTGGCAGGTTTGCAGCTTCATTAGCTTGTAAGCAATGAGGACAACCTGTTATGTGCTCCTTGCTTGGCACAGCTCTCCAGAATGCCAGGCGGTGGATGCCTGTGGACACCTCCTTGTCTAACTGAGGTGGAAGCCACAGGGCATCAGGCCGTGCTGCCTTCAAGTAACAGCCATGAGCACCAAGCGACAGCTCACCTTGTCTGTGCCTCCTCCTCCTCCCCCTCCTCCTCCTCCTCCTCCCCAGGGGCCAGGGCTATCACCATGCTGGCTGGTGGAGATTCCAGCATTTTGGGGCAAAAGAATGACTTTGCCCCTCCAGCTTGAGCTCACTTGAGGATTGCTTGCTTAACCCCTTTGGGCCTTGGAGCCTGGAAGTTTTCATGGGACAGTGAGTCCTGCCTTAGAAGAGAGGTGAGGGGCTGACAGAAATCTTAACCCCCTTGCTATCTCCCTTGAAAATGTGGGAGATAAATGGGGGGAAAATTCAAAAAGTCTCAGAGGATTTTGATGTTTGGATGTTTGGGGAAGACAGTTTCCTGAGCTTACTCAGAGACCTTTGGATTCCATGCTTTAGGTTAGTTGCTACATAATTTCTGATATCTGGCTGCTATAGTTGGGGTCTGGAGTCTCCACCAACAGCTCATGGTTAAAATCTTGTCCCCAGCTTGTAATGCTATTAGGAGGCAGTGGGACCTTGCAGAGGTGGGGCTGAATTGGAGGACATCCAGGTCATTTGGAGCTGTCCCTTCCAAGGGCCACTGAGATCTCATCTTCCTGACTGTCTTTGCTTCCTAGCCACACTAACTGAGTGGCTTTTCTCCAGCTCCCACTCTCTACTGTGACATCTGCCATCATGGCTACAGGGCCCAAAGTGATGCATCCAGTTTGCCAGGGGCTGTCACCTGCGAACCATGAGCCAAAGAAACCTTTCTTCTCTTTAAGTTGACTTATCTCCAATCATTTGTCACACTAGGAGAAAACTGACTAATACTTGGTGGTCTCTTTTTCTTATCCCACAGCCACACCATCCCTGATATATTAAGGGGAAAAAGAAGCCAAGAAGCAGAACCACACACGTGGTGTGCCACACTTTGTATTTTTCCAGGTTCTCTGTGTTGCTCATTCATTCACAGGCTTGGTGGAGGACCGCAAGCTGGGTAGAGGGGCTCTTTCTGAGACAGGAAACCAGAGGATGCATCAGGGTGTGGTGTTCTTTTTTGTCGCTGCTGCTTCAGTATTGTGCGTGTATTTAAGCAATGTTCATGTACTGGTGGAGCCGAGAAGCAAGACCAGGGAAAATACACAAAAAGGGGCACACTGCATGCAGGCGAAATGGTACTACGTTGCTAGATGCATAGAGGTTGCAGAAAAATAACAGCGTATTCCCGGCTCAGCCAGCAGTGGAGACTTTGTCCCAGGAGAACCTCCAGGGAGCTCTAGGACGAGCTCTGTGACTATCTCAGTGTGGTCAGTGCTGTAACGCCAGCAGAGAAAATGGGACGCAGTGCCCTCCGTCCAGGCTCTGGGATGGAGTAAGCCATGCGCGGAGCCAAGGCCCTGAGGTGGAGCATGACAGGATGACATTGGTGGTCACTGGGCAGGCTGGCTGGGGGAGGACGATGTGGAGGCCAGCAGGCCAGGTGGGAGTGGCCGTTCCCTGCATAGGTGTGAGCTCCGAGGGCGGCCTGGCCTCAGGGAGAAGAGGCAGAGTTCAAACACTTCATTGCCACAGAGGGGGCAGCTGGGGCCCAGGTGTTTATGCTCATTTCCTGGGCATGAGATTCTTTCACGAGAAGTCAAGGCTGGTGTCTGTCCTTGGCGGCCGCTCCTGTGGCAGGGTCGGCAGGGAACTAGCGCCAGTGCCTGTGGGGCTCTGGCTCTCACGCAAAAGCCTTCTTCGTGGACTTCGAAAGCCCAAGTTTCCCTTTGGGCAGTCGTGATGAGGTAGGAGCCGGGCAGGATCAGAGAAGATGCTCCTTCCAGTTTGACTAAGGCAGAGTTAACTCAAGTGGAAAATAAAAGCGGTTTTCTTCCCTGAGAGTGCAGGGGGTGGTTGGTAGAGCCATTCATTTAGCGGCCGGAGATGGTGAATCAAACGGTGCCCTTGTATCTATGTGCGACTGGCCTTCTTCTTCTTTTTCAGAGGAACAGATTTTTTGCTGTTGCCGAAGGCCCTCGCAGACTGCAGTTTAAATTCAACTGGAAAGTGATCGCTGACCTCTAGTGCCTGTAAGGAGGAGGGCAGGTAGACATGTGTTTAGAAGGTGCCTGGGATGGGCCATTATTTCAGTGATGAGCAAGTTCAGGAACAGGGAGGGAAGATGCCTGAAGTCACTCAGCAGAGTGGTAGGCATTGTCGTTGGCCCAACTCAATCAGGCATTTCAGCAGATGCCACGCGTGGCAGTATATGTCTATAACTTGGGAGGCCGAGGTAGGGGAACCATGAGTTTGAGGCCAGCCTGGCAACATATAGCATGTTCAAGAGTAGCCTAGACTACCTAGTGAGATCCTGTCTTAAGAAAAAAAAAGAAAAGGAAAAGAAATTTTGGCAGGATCTCAAAGTGCAGAATCCTAATCAATAGTTATTGAGACTCAAGGCTCAGTGCCCCAGTGCTGACCTCAACGAGTGACAGCAGTCACTCTTGGAAAGGTCGTGACAGAGAAGACAAGATGGCAGCCTTACCTCCTCCTCAGACAGCTGATAGGCTTTCTGGAAGTCAAAGACACCGTTTGAGTTGGGAACCACAGACTTGACGATCTCTTGTCCTCGAAGCACGATCCTAGAGCCAGGGGAGGAAAGACAGCCGTGTTAATCCACGCTGTTGACGCCCTGAAGTCAGACCAAGGCCTGTGGTGGCCATCTGCAAGTGACTGAGCAGGCTGGCTCTCTCACACGGGCTCTAAGGCCACATGGTTCCAGCTGGCAGCCCCCCAGGGGACAGTTCCTGCAATTGCCAAGGAGAACCCGGGCCTGCCGTGGCCCGGTGGGCACAGGACAGCATCTCCGCGTGACAGCTGTCCCTGGAGGTGGGAGAGCAGATGTCAGACAACACAGAGACTCTGTGCCATCAGTGATAACATAAATACCGCTGCCCTTTTGGTGCCTTTTCATTCCCCTGATTAGATAACGGAGAAATTCTCTTATGTTCAGTACCTCTCCACCCTCCATTTTGACAATGACAGAGCAAGCGTCCTGCAGGCCAAGGAAATAAGGCAGAACTGCAGTTTTCACTGGGATTCTTTTCAATTTCTTTGATTTATGCAAAGGACACCATTTATTTGTTTTCTTGAGATGGGGTCTTGCTATGTTCCAGGCTGGTCTGAAACTTGCATTCCTTCCGCTTGACCCCCTACCCCCCTCCTCCCCCCACCCCCTGAGCGATGGGATTGCTGGCTGTGATGCTGTTTTGTACTGTAGGGTCATCCTTTAACAATTAATTTACTTCCGTGAGAAATTAGTGGGTTTAAAAAAAATAGAGAGAGACAAAAACCACAGCATAGATGCTTTGTGCAGTGACGACACTACCTGGCAATGTGGCAGCCAGATGAGTTTTGGAAAAGGACCCTAAAGTGGCTCCAGGGTCAAGGAGGCACAGCCCACCTGGGGGCCGGCTGCCTGAGGCATGCGCACAGCCTCCCTACGCCTCTGTCCTGAGCGTCTCTGATTGTGAATTTTTTTTTTAATTTTTATTTATTTATGTGTGTGTGTGTGTGTGTGTGTGTGTGTGTGTGTGTGTGGCCAGCTCAGCCCACCAGGGGGCCGGGCTGGCTGGCATGTGGTGCTGGGGGATTGAACCGCCGACCCTGTGCTTTGCTAAGCTTGTTCTAAGTAGGTGCTTTAGACCACTGAGCCATCTCACCAGCCCTGATTCTGAATTTGTTAATGCCACTGTGTAGTTCATTCTTCGTTGTTGCTGCTGTTTTGGTTTGCAGAGCCAAGGGCTGCCCCCAGGGCCTCGAGCAGGCTAAGCAAGTCGTGCACCGCGGAGCCAGCTGCACCCCAGCCTCGTCGCTCCTTTCTTGCTTAGCCCACAATCAAGATCTTCTTCACTTTAAGTTGGAGACTCAGAGAGCCGAAAGCAATACATGGCTGTTTGGATTCTGACTTCTGCAGCGTGAGCACAGGTGGGCTCTCAGGTTACATTTTCCCGGGGCACAAGCCAGGGCCTGGGGTCTTTCCTGTCCACTGGCACTCGGCATGTGGCAAAGTTCAACAAATATTGGATCACAGGACAAGTACTGGGATTGAGACCATCCTGTCTAGGCCCATTTAAAACACATCATTTATAAATCCCCAGAATTACACACGTTGTTGTGGAGCACAAGAAATTCAGGGCGCTAAAATAAGAAACTAATCTTTACAAGTCCCGTGCCTTCTCCCATGCTTTGGCATGTAACAGTTATGGGACCAGGGAGTGGCTGATCTTTTTTTTTTTTTTAGCGGGACCAGGGATTGAACTCAGGCCCTTGAGCTTGCCAGGGAAGCACTTATTCCACTGAGCCATCTCCCCAGCCCTGGACCAGGGAGATGTGTTCCTAACCTGTCCTGCCATGGGCTCTTTTCCTTGAGATTAGCAGTCTTTCTGCATTGTTCCTTCCCGTCAGTTCCATCTCATTTGCAGGGAGAACAAGGCCGCTGGAGAAGGGACTGGACCTGCTCTGACCCCAGAATGCCGGGCAGATAGCTCAGTGGCTTAAGTGCCTGCCTGGCAAGCACAAGGTCCCAAGTTCAATCCGCAGTACCAAAGGGTAGGGGGGAAGAGTGAGACAGAACATCAAAATGCCAGGATGGAGGGCTATGTCCCAGCTTGACTGGTGGCCTTCACAAGGGCGGTAAAAAGGAAGCCTGTTGCTAGGCCTCCTGTAACTTCCTACCCCGGGGCTTCCACTTTCCAGAGCTAGAGTAGTGACATCTGCAAAGATAATTCCAGCTCTGAAAGTCCCAAGAGGAACAGAGGAAGCCAGGGGATGGAAGTGAAAGCCAGGCCTCTAGTTGAGCAGCGAGGAGCCAGCTGTTCTCCTGCAGCAGCGGCCACCTGGGACTGGGCTCCCAGAGGCTTCTCTGCCTGTGGTCTGCGTTCTGCTGACTCCCACCACTTCCTTCTTGACTGAAGGAGAAAAAGTGAAAGTCCTTGAAAAGCCCCAAGGAGACTTGAGAAGAGCAAGGAAACGCCATTAGGAGTGGGCAGCCGAAGCTTTGAAGGTCAAAATAATCTTGCACTAACTGCTGTCCTTTTTATGGTTGTATGCAGAGCAAATAATGAATATTTGCCCAAAATGCATATACAGGATGTTCACCTCACTAGTGTTTCTAATAGCAAGCCCTTGATGGTGATCGATGGGGACTGGGTGAATAAACCACGGTGAAGCCCATGGATGTACTGAGTGTTCGCCGAGCCCTCACTGTGCTAGCATCTTTCATGTATCGCATATATTATTTCATTTAATCCTCATCTTATCTCCACGACAGGCTGTCCTACAGCGAGGACATGAAGTCACAGAGAGCATATGCGTCTTGGCCATGGGCATGGTGAGTGGCAGGCTCAGGAATTGAAAGTAGGCCTGTGACAGCAGAGCCAGGGCAGGCCACTGCTCAGCTGAGGTACACAGGCCACTCCCCGAGGGTCATGTTCCACACTGCAGGGGCCTTGAAACACAGCTGACACTGTCCCCTGAGTTGGCCTGAGCTTCGCCCACCTAGAGGCCCTAGTGGCCAACAGCCCTGCAGACGTGCCTACCTGTCATAGGCGCAGCTCGTGCTCTGCTTGACCGTGGTGTCCTCGTCATCTGTGATCAGCCACACGAACTTGGGGTCGGTCCTCAAGCGAATGTTATTCCAGGCCTTCTTGGGAACATAGCTGCAGCCAGCGTTGAAGTCACCCATGAAAATGAAATTCTGAAAGACACATTTTGGGATTGTCACCTGGGGGACTGCTGGGGCACACTGCTCTCTCTCAGAATCTCGGCGATGACTCAGTCTTCCAGGCCCAGGAAATAAAGGGATCTTTTATTACCTGAATGGTGCCCCACTCCCAAATTCGTACACAGAGGTCCTGACCTCCAGTAGGGTGCTGTACTGTAGAAGGTGAATATATTTGAAGACAGTCTTAAGGAGGAAAGTGCGATGAAATGACGTCAGGTGGGTGGGCCCTAATCCAACAGGACAATGTCCTTACACAAACAGGAGGGGCTGGAGCTGAGCTCACTGGTAGAGCCCTCACCAGGGCAAGGCCCTTGCACCTTGCTGAGTGAGGCTCCCACCCTCAGCACCATAGGAAAAAAGAGAGAAAAGGGAGATTGGGACATAGAGAGACAAAAAGAAGACGATGTAAGGGTGAGGATATCCTGAGAAAATGTCCATCTAGTTGGCTGTAGTGGTTCACTCTTGTAGTCCCAGCCCTCAGAAGCCTGAGGCAGGAGGGTGGTGAGTTTAATACATTCATGATCTGGATGTCTTACTGCTGGCCAGCTCTGATTCGAATTTGTCATGCTTCCGCCAGCTGGAGCCACCAGTGGTACATGCATGACTGTCCCTTTGGGCAGCATGGGACTGTTTGATTGGGTGATAGGAGCTTCCTGATGAGACAGTCATGCATGTACTACCTACCAGTGCTTCAAACCGACAGGAACATGTAGGCCAGCCTGGGTGACACAGGAAGAACCCAAGACCCTGTCTCAAAAGAGGAAAAGGAGAAGGGAGGGAGAAAGAAAAAGGGAAGGAGAGAGGAGAGATAAAGGAGAAGAGGAGGAGGAAGAGGAAAAGAAAAAGATGAAGAGAAGGGAAATGAAAGAGGTGAAAGTGTCAGGGGAAGAGAGGAGGGAAGGAAAGGGAAAGAGAGGGGAGGGGAGGAGAGGATAGAGGAGCAGAGGGGAAGGGAAGGGTGAGAAGGGAAGGGAAGGGCTGTCTACCAATCTCTAGCCAATGAGAGAGGAGACCCATAAGACACCAAGCCTCTCACACACTCTGACCTTGGATTTTCAGCCCACAAACATATGAGAAACCCTTTTGTATCATTTAATCCACGCAGGTGGTGCCACTTTAGTATGGCAGTCCTAGCAGACGAACAGAGGGGCTGTCTGAATTTTATTCTTAATTTTTAAAAGAACAGGCAGCAGTTCACAACCAAATCCAAGCTTTGAAGACTATCTGGCAGGTGACTACAAAGAATGTTTTTCATTTAGTTGGTTGGGTTTTTTGTTTGTCTGTTTTTGTTCTAGAGATTGGACCCAGGGCCTTCAGACAAAGCTCCAGCCCAATTTTATATTTTATTTTGAGGCAGGATCTCACCAAGTTGCTAAATTCCCCAGGCTGGGCCTGATTTCTCTCAGTCCTCCTGCCTCAGCCTCACGGAGCTCTGGAACATTGGGTGTGCCTCACCATTCAGGTCTGGAAGCTTTCATAACCAGTCTGAGTTAAAAGTGTGTTCTTAACACAAAGGAGGGCGTTTTCTCCCTCTGCTCTGTCCTGTTCTTAGTCACTGTCTCTATAATTCAGCATGCAGAAGGAGGTGGGAATACAAGGGTCCAGCCAAGATCTTCCCTCACCTCTTTTGTCTCTGCCTCAAACTACTGCAGCAATAAATATGTGGATGAATCAACACCTTTGTTTCCAAGCAGGAAAAATGTACGTGGGCGGGGTACTGACAGCTCTGGCACCAGTCTCTCTCCCATTATTCTGAGGTTGGAAACTTAGGCCTGCGGAAAGCTTGTCCCCTGGAAATGGGAGGAGCTGTAATGGGAGGGGCCGCAGGGCAAGCTGTCCATTCCCACCCCAGGCCACCAACAGAAAGTTGCTGTCTTGGAAGTATTTTTTCCTGGTAGGGCTCCTGGACCAGAACTTATGACATTCCCCAAATCAGAGGAAGGGTCAGATTTCCTTGTTTATGCCCTTCTTGGGGTGGATGTTGGCTTCAGGATGTTCTTCAAGAACTTGTCATCTTGAACTCAGAGATCACAGCTTCCTCCGAGACAGATGGCTACAGAGGAGGCCAGGACATCTTGCTCGAGTGACCACCCAGTTTCCACTAAAACCAGCACAAAATGCTGAGCTTTCACTAAGTGCCAGGTCCTGCATATGATAACAGTTGACAGTGTTTAAATCACACCTCACAACAGTGAATACTAGAAGGTAAAAAGTGCCATTAACTATTAACCATTAATTGTGTGTGACTCCTCTAGACCACTCAACTGGGTGGTTCAAGTATTGAAGTCAAGAATGAAACCCAGGTCTCCCTCACCGAAAGGTCCCTCATCCCAAGAGTTTCCCTTTGGGTCATTGCTCAGAGACTGATGCCCAACAGAAGCTCAAGATATTCTTGAATGAATGAATGAATGAATGAATGAATGAGTGAGTGAGTGAATGAACGATTTCCTAATTTTTAGAATGAATGAACAACTCTTCCTCTTTTCCCATCTCTGGCCAACTGGGTTCACCCTTTACTCATTTTGTAAATTGAGCAGTGGAACTGAGGAGGAGGAAGAGGATCCCATTGGTCACATTCCAAGAGAGGAAGAGAGGAATTGGGAAGAACGGCCCTCTGGAGCACTTCCGCATTTGCCAAGAGCTCTCACAGAACTCATGGCCACAGGTGGCAGGGCCCTGTCTTCCGGATGAGGAATAAGGCAGGCCCTAGGGACGGCAGACATCAGTTGGTTCTCCTTTTCATACCCAGTTTGAGAGCGTGCCATTGGCCACTGAAACACTCCTGACTTCTCTATGCCCTGCTCTTCCCAAGGGCAAAGTGGTTGAAATACAGGTGCCCATGCCAAGCCCCACATGGTTCCTGGCATCAGCCAGTCCCTCCAAAACTGCTGGCATCTGTCATAAATGGTGCAGAGGAGGAGTCCCGAGACCCACATGGATGGCCCCAGACAGCAAGAGGGTGGGCGAAGCCGACAGGCCCAGGGAAGGTGCCCTGGTAGGTCCCGCTCCTCGCCTTCCTATTCCAGCACCAATTTCTGCCTCTGCTTAGCGACAAACGCAGAGCGCTCACCTCGGCCTTCCACCGGCGGTGCACGTCCATGTACACGTCCACCAGCTCGTCCATCTCTTTTGCGGAGCTCTCAGGGGTGGTGTGCAGGGGAATAATCACGAAGTCCTTCACAGCTGGGGACAGCGAAGCCACAGAGGTCACATACTCCCTGCCAAGCTCCCACAAGTACTGAATGAGGAAGTTCTCCTTTCTAGAATGTATGTACGAGCTGTGTCCGGTAGGCCGCTGGCCCAATGGTGGCAGAGATTTTAGAGATCCTAGGGTCACTGGGCTGGTTAGTTTTATATTATTCCTTTTGGTTTTGTGAGATGAGGTCTCACTGTGAGGTTCATGCTGGTCTTGAACTGACTGTGTAGCCCAGGCTGGCCCCAAACTTTCCTCAGCCTGCCTGCCTCAGCCTCCCCAGTGCTGGGATTACAAGTGAGGGCCTCCATGCCTTCTTGGGCCACTTACTTTCTCCCACTTGCCTTTCACGGCCAGGGAAAGGCTGATAGCCTGTGTTCCTTGCTGGTGCTGTGTGTGTGTTCTATTTTCTCTTCTCTTATTTTTGCAAAACTGCATTTTCTTCTGGTTTATTTTTCTTATTTTTGTAATTGATAAGAATATATACATATATATATATATATATATATATATATATATTTAAATGAATAAATCTTTTTGGCTTGTGTACTAGTAGAAAACTTGTTTTTTCTAATTAAAAAGGCGCAGGAGCCGGGACTGCAAATTGAAGTCAAGTAAGGATAGCTTAGTGACTTAGTGATACCCTGTCTCAAAAAGAAAACGAAAAGGAGTTAGTTCAGTGCGAAGGTGCTGGGCTCGGTTCTCAGTATGGGTGGGGCAGGGTCGTTTGAGGCGTGCCAGTTTATACTCCTCTTGTAATCAAGGAAAAAGCCCCCAAAAGATATTTAAGAAGTAAGAAAGCATAGGCAGGGACCGGGGTTCGATCCTCAGGCTTGCCGTGCCAGCCCCGCCCCCGGGGCCCGCTGAGACTGCGATTGAGATTGGGTGTGGTGGCGTGCGCCTCTAATCCCAGCGTTTGGGAGATTGAAAAAAGGAAAAGCACTACGAGTCCGATCTGCGTAGTGAGACCCTGTGCTAAATACACACACACACACACACTTTAAAAAAGACAAAAGTAAGAAGGCTTCTGTGGGTAGTCTGAACGCCTCCCCCTGGGGACTGAGGCGGAGCGTGGCTGTGGTGACCACGCGGATGCCCCGCCGAGCGCCTTCTGCCTTTTCTGCAGCAGCTTCTGTCTCTGCCTGGGGCCCACTCACGGGCAGAGGTCATGAGGTGGTCCCTGCTCAGGTCACACCGTGGGAGCGGGACCGGACTTATGTGCCTCCGGGGCTTCGCTGCGCGCCCGCTCACCTCCTCCTGCTTGGGACTTGTTCTGCAGCTCTGCCTCACACTCCACCCCCTCTCACTCCCAGAGCTTTCGCGCTGTCCCCCTGCACCCCTGCGCAGCCCTCTGGACGGTAGCTTCCTTAGGTTACCCCCCCTAAGGCGCCATCCCTGCTCACCCCACCCCAGGTGAACCCCTGCGTCCGCTGCTCAGTGTGCACTAGGGACTTTCTGCATGCTCCAAAGTCACTTCCTCCACTTCCGCATGTGACCCACCGAACCGCGAGCTCAGCAGCTCCGGAACCCAGCATAGTGGGTCCTCCTGCACTCCTGCCTCAGCCTCCCAGAGTGCTAGGTTCTTTACATACTCTTGACATGAGCTCTTTGTTAGCATAAATTGCATGTATCTTTTACCACTTGCCTTTTTACTTCATTAGTCTCTCTGTCTCTCTGTCTTTCTGTGTGTGTCTCTCTGTCTCTCTCTGTCTCTGTCTCTCTCTGTCTCTCTCTGTCTCTCTGTCTGTCTCTCTCTCTCTCTCTCTCTCTCTCTCTCTCTCTCTCATGTATTTGGTTGTTACAGGGTCTCACTGTGCAGCTCAGATTCATGGTGATCCTCCTTTTTTTCAGCCTCCCTAGTGTTGGGATTACAGGTGGTCACCACTATGCCGGGACTCTGGCTGGCTCAGCCCACCTTGGGGGGCAGGGCTGGTGTGGAATGTGGTGCCGAGGATTGAGTTGCGGTCCCTGCGCTTGCCTAAGCAGGTGCTTTAGTCTGCTGAGCTATCTCACCAGCCCCCTCATTAGTGCTTCTTAATGAAAGCTTGTGCCTGGGTCAAGGCACATTGCTGATGCTCAAAAGCATTTGTTGACTGAACATACAGATAAATGGATGAATACAATAGCTAACTTAATCTCAGGTCAAAGGGACACAAGAGGTCTTCTGGCACAGGAGCAAAAGCTCCAAATGGGCAGAGCTATCCCAGGGAGATGGGGTTAGAGAAGGGAAGTGGGGAAGCTCAGGACAAACAGGTTTGTTTAGAAATTCACAAAGGCTCAGGACTCTCTCTTTGGGGCTGGGAGGACTCCAGCTGGCCTGAATAATAGGAACTGTGTGCGTGGCAATGAGGATTACTGCTCACGTTCCTGAAGGGCTCCTCTACCTTCTCTTACAGCGCTCCTCCCCGAGCCACTTAACCGTGGGCATAAATGTATAATCCAGGAAGATTATGCAGGTACAATGGTACCTCGACTCAGGTATTAACTGGAAAGAAAACCGAGCTGGACAAGCACACTAAGGTCAAATTTCCCCATAAGGTCAACTTTGAACCTAACTGTTGAATTTTTTTGGTACTAGGAATCAAACTCAGGACCTCACACTTCTCAGGCAGGTGCTTTGCTCCTGAGCTGTATCCCCAGCCCTATACATAGAATTTGATTCAGTTCTCATCCAATGAGGTTTGTGACCAGAATCGTGGAACAAATTGTGTTCATGAACCAAGGTGCCACTGTATAGTAGAGATCTAGATGTAGACACTTACAGATTTCATGTATTAATTTCTTTGCTTGGTACTGGGGATCGAACCTAGGCCCTTGTGCACACAAGGGCAGGGCTGTACCACTGAGCTCCACCCCAGCCCAGCATGCATTTATCTGGCCATTAGATGTCTGTACTCCAGCTTAACTTCCCAAGGGTAGGAACCTCCTCTGCCTTTCTGATGCCTTCAGCACAGCTTGACAAATAGCAGATTCTGAGAAAAACAGTCTTTGATTCTACGTTGCTGCTGTCTTCAAACTGCACTTACATCTTGGTTTTCCCTAGAGTGTGGTGTGGTGGTTGAGACAGCGCGTTAGCTCACAATCCTGGCTCAGCCACTTCACTAGCTGGGTGAACCGGACAAATGACTCCACCTTTTTGAAACTCAGTTTCCTCAAATGTAAAGAGAAGGTAATCCTGGTCTCTACCTTGCTGTCTGTTGCAAGGATTACAAGGTGCCAGCGTCTGATGTGGGATTAGCGTAGCGCTGGAGTTGAGGGTGCAGCTGGCTTGGGTTTCCTCCCTGGTCTGTGGAAGGTACAGCTAGTGTCCACTGCAGGGAGAGGGAGACTCTTGCTGACTACCTCTCGCTTGAATCTTTTAAAAATTAAGGAACTGGAGCTAAGGGCACCGCGCCTGCCTGGCAAACATGAGGTCCTGAGTTCAATTCCTGGTACCAAAATATATAAATAAATTAAGGAACTGGACAGGGACCAAAGACTTACAGTAAATCATTTTCGTGAGCTAAACATTCCAAAGAGCATGGAGTTATCCCTGATCCCAGGGGTGGAGCAGGTGTCGGGCTACTCTGAAAAGTGCGCCTCGTGCCATCCGTGTACATTGCCCTGTCCCCTTTCCAGGGTTAGGAGCAGCGCGTGGCCCTCGGAGCCCAGCACTCCCTCAAGATGTTGCCTGAGCCCTGGGACACTGCTGGAGAATGCTTGACTCTGCCCATTTACAGGCTTCTAGGGAGGTCACGGACAGGAGGGGCTGGTGGGTCTCACCAGTGTGGGGTGACTGGAACCAGACCACGTAGGGCTCCCTGGAAAACACATCTGCGTCTCCATCCTGGAAGTCATGGTAGAGGTAGTTTTCCTTCACTGTCACCAGCTTCTCCCTGAAAGAGAACAAGGAAGCCGGTCTCACTTCTTTGAATAATCAAATTAAGCTTCCTAAAGGTCCCCATGGCTTTGTTAGCTTCCACAGCAAGAGGAAAGATCTTTGGCTGAGACCAAGATGGAGTCAACTCTCTGGGACCCAAGGATCTCAGGGTACTCCTTAGGGGCCCCCACAGATGACTGTGGAGACCCCCTTGTAAAACAAGAGCAAGAAGCAACGCGCTTCTGGTGTTCAGCAGCCAGCTGCGCAGGGCAACTTGGGTCCAGGCCTTGACCTTGAAGAGTCAAGAACCCCTGACCTTGGCACCCACCCACATCACCAAACAGCCAGCTCTTAGGAAGCTGTTCAGACTTTTGTTTCTCAAGATTTAATACTTTGAAGGGCTGGCCAGATAGCTCAGCAGACTAAAGTGCCTGCTTAGGCAGAGCACAGCGACCGGGGTCCAGTCCTTGGGGTGCCATGCCAGCCCCCACCCCTCGGGGCATGCTGAGCTGGCGATTGAGACTGGACGTAGTGGCACACTCCTGTAATCCCAGCACTTGGGAGGCTGAAAACAGGAGGATCACTACGAGTCTGATCTACGTAGTGAGACCTTGTACTAAATACATTTTAAAAAAAGATTTACTACTCTGCACCAGCCCCAGTTGTGACAGCAATTATTTTTATTGATACTGAGAACTGATTAGACAGCAATATCTAGTTTTGACGTGCATATATATTTTGATTCAGTTTGCGTTCAATTTGTGGTCACATCTTTGTGTGTGTGTGTGTGCACTAGGGCTTGAACTCAAGACCTTATGCTTGCCAGGCAGACACTTAAGCCACTGAGCCATCTCCCTGGCCCTTCGGTCACATCTTTAAGTGGATTTCAAAGAGCATAGGTTACACTTACTTGTAGATAAAGGCATACTGCTCTTTATATGTGTTTCTTCCAAGCCGAGAGCTAATCACGTAGCTGTATGTCGTTCCTCTCCTTGAATTTCTAGAAAACATGAAGATTTCACCTTGCATCTTAAAGAATGAACATGTCCCTCTTGAATATTTATCGCCCCTCTCTAATATACCTTGACATTACCCACAGTGTCATGTGGAAGGGCTATTATTCATAATTTTTTGGAGACAGAATCTTACTATGTAGTCCAAGCTGGCCTTGAACTCACAGTGATCCTCCTGCCTCAGGCTTCCAGGTTCTGAGTTATAAGCAAGAGCTACCACACAACTTTTGAGTTGATAAGAGTCTTTTGCCAGATCCTTGTACCCTGCCTAACTACCTACCCTCTTCCATTCTTCCCACCTGCCCTCCTTCGTCTTCTCCTTTTTCTTTTTCCTCTCCCTCTCTCAATTCTGAGTGTTGAAGTTAGGCCCTTGACACTGACTGAACTATATACTTAATCAGTTTTTCCTCTGGGACAGTGATGCCCTAAATTGCTTAGGCTAGCCATGGATTTGTGGTGCTCCTGCCGCAGGCTCTCAGAAGGCTGGGATTACAAGTGTGCACCAACATACTTGGATTTTTCTTTTTCATTGTCAGAAATGGAACCCAGGGCCTCAAATTTGGTAGACAAACATTCTGCCACTAAGCTACATCCCTAGCCCTTATTTCTGGTCTTACAAAGGAACATAGTATTGTTATCTTTCTCTCCTTTTACAGTTTAAGAGGACAAAGCTGGGATTGAACCCAGACCTGAGTCACCCCCAAACCCACAATCTTTGGTCTGCACCTATGGGAGCCACTAAACCCATAGATTATTTAGGCAGAGTCGGAAACTCTGTTTTGGTCCCTGGTGAGTTGTGGCTCTGCGACCTCATCAGGACCCCTGAGCAGGTGCCCCTATGCATTCATCTAAGACAGGAAGCTTCTCGCTTCTTTGCCTAACCCCTCCGCTCCCAGGGCTATCTTGAGTCTGTGTTTACTCATTTTGCTGATAACTCTGCTCCAGACGCAGCCCGACGCAGTTTCACCCCATCTGCTTACAGAAAGATCCAGGGCGTGGCTAAAGCTGTGACGGAGCTTTGGAGTTATTAGATAAGAGCACAAAGGGTATTTAGGGGGCAGCGTAGATGACAGAAATCCCTGAGACTTCAGATACATGCTTTAAGCTAAACCCAGCCCTGGGGAGCCCAGGAGAGGCCGGCAGAGTCTCCAGAGCTTTCCTTGCAGGAAGCTGGCCTTTTCTGCGCCTAACCTGCCTTTGTTGTAAGGGCAGCAGGACTGTCCCCACCCCTCCAGGCTTGGTGGGGAGCAAGAACACTGCCCAGGGAGCCTGACCAGCAGGATGCCTGGCCAGGGATGTGGGTGCCTCGTGGAAGCTGTTGCCTGTGGCCTTTGGGCCATCTCCTGCCATTGTAATTCCTTCCTTGTGACAGTAACAGATGTCAGCAGCACTCACTGATCATGGTCACACAGCAGGCCCTGTCCAGGTGTGGATGGGTTACACTGCGCTTGACCTGACTGTGCATGAGGTAATCTAGTTATCCCCCATCCCAGAAGGTGGCTCCTACATTAGCCCCATGCTACACAGGGAAAGAACGAAACACAGAGTGCTGTAACTCGCCCAAGGTCAGGGCACAGCCAAGCTCTGAGCTGAGCATGCACTCCTAACCCCTAGGCTATACTTCCTGCATCTCCATCTTTGAAAGAGCAGAGGGGCCAGGGAGATGGCTCAGCGGAATAAGTGCTTCCCTGGCAAGTACAAGGGCCTGAGTTCAATCCCCGGTTAAAAAAAAAAAAAAAAAAAAGAAAGAGCAGAGCTGGGAATTAGACTGGCGGAGGCTAACAGTCACAAGCTCAGCCGTGCCCAAGGTAGGGCAGGCCAAGCCCAAGAGGCAGCCAGTGTGTAGGAGGTGCCCACAGGCTGCCCCTCACCACTCTCAGGAGTCCAAATTGACATTTGACCATTAAGAAACAAGGTGAGCTTTCCTTCGACTATTTGTTCAACTCAGGTGGTGGACACAAAGCTGTTGGTTAGAATATTTCTGTGCCTATTTCTCATGGGAAAGTACGGAGAGAAATAGAAATATTACTCTTAAATCTTTAGTAAATTTTTACATTAATGCAGTCAATGCCAACATTAGTGAATTATTTCCCTTGATGCTAATGTTCTTTTTTTTTTGTTATTTATTTGTTTGTTTGTTTATTTATTTGCCAGTACAGCATACTACTGCATATCTCACAGAACTCGTAAAAACAATGCTAAAATTTATGTAAAAACAGCATAGCACTGGTAAAAAACAGACTTAAGGATCAATGGAACAGAATAAAAGATTCGATGCTAATGTTCTTAAAAACACATAATTAAGTGAACATGGTACATATTGCGTAATCTGGTTGTTGCTGAATCTTATAATGATCTACAAAAAATACTTACATTCGAGGTTTTAAAAATGTAAGAGGCTATATTGGAATATTTTGCTGAATTCATGCACTTACAATATTTAAATGACAATGGGATACCCTTCTCTGACAAAACTAAACAAAAAAAGAGATACAAATGAAGGACCATTTTGTATCTGTATATTCAAAATAGTTAGGATAGATATACAGCTACTTTCTCTTAATTCAATGAATAGAAAGATTTGTTTCACCACTTTTTTTTTTTTTTTGGCAGAACCAGGGATTGAACTCAGATCCTTGCGTTTGCCAGTCAAGCACTTATCCTACTGAGCCACCTCCCTGACCCCTTAGGAATAGAAAGATTTGGTCTAATAGTGGTTGGAAGACAACAATATGCATTGTATTAATTATTGAAACTGTCCTAATAATTGATTTTGGAACTGTCTCGTTGCTATTTGTTTCTCAATAAAATTATTTTAAAAATAATAAAAGAAAATGTAAGGGGGGGGGGGGTCAGGAAGATAGCTCAGTAGAATAAGCTCTTGCCTGGTAGGCGCAAGGACCTGAGTTCAATATCCAGTTCCACCAAAAAAAAAAAAAAAAGTAAGACATATCAATTGGGAATGTAGCTTAGTGGTGGAGCACTTACTTAATACGCATAAGGCTCTGGGTTTGATGACCAGCACCACAAAAAAAATCAATAAATAAATGCAGAATCACCTCAGAATCACGGGAAGTAGTCACCACAGAATCTCTGCAGAAGCTTATTTAAAATTCTAATTCTCATGCAGCCTGGGGCACAGATCTCTGATCCCGCACCCTTGGAGGCTGAGGCAGGAGGACTGCAAGTTCTACCCCAGACTGGGAAGCTTAGCAAGACCATGTCTCAAAATACAAAAGAGCCAGGGATGTAGCTTAGAAAGAAGGCTGGGGGTCACTATCTAGTACCACAGAAGTGAAACAAACAAAGCCCAGGTTTCCTCTCACAGATAGCCCCATTCAGTGGGCAAGGGAGCGTCTTCACGTGGTTTTAGCTCCTGCTAGGGTGATCTGAGTTGGGGTTGCTGAGAAGTATCCCCCAAAGGCCAGTGTTGACGGCTTGGTCACTGGCCTGTGGTGCCACAGGACGAGGGGCCTCATAGGAAGAACTTAGGTCAGGATCTGGCCTTGAGGGGGTATTGGCACCCACGCTCTCCTCCCTTTCTCTTTGCTCCTGAGCCACTGTGAGGTCCTGCTGGTGCCACCATTACTACGTTATGCCTCAGCACAGGCCGCAAAGTAACATGGCCTACTAGCCACAGGCTAGAGCCTCCAGCACTATAAGCCAAGACAAACCTTTCCTCCTTATAAGGTGCTGACCTTTTGGGTTCAGGTCTTTTGTTACAGTGATTGAAAGCTGACTAACACAGAGGGTCCACGATTATTAAGAAGGAATGCAGGTCACAGATATCATCCATGTCATCTGAAACAACCCAAGGACATTACCACTTGGTTTCTACTGATTTTTAAATGCTAAAATTCAACATGGGTTGATTGTAAAATATTCAAGTCATACAGAACTATTAAAATAAAAAGCAAATGCCCCCCATTTCTTCACTGGCTCTTTACCCACACCCCAGAAATAACCTCTACTACCAGGTTGGGCCTATCTTGTCAGCCATTCTGTGCTCACCCAAACCCAAATACACCCAAACTTGTATAAAAATAATGTAATGAGCTGCTCTTTGCAGCTAAATATTCTAGCATAGATATACGGCCACAATATACGGAAAATATGTTCAGAACTGCGACTTATTCTAGCCAGGGAGATAGCTCCGTGGCATAAGTGCTTGCCTGGCAAGCGCAAGGTTCCGAGTTTGATCCTTGGTACAAAAAAAAATTGTAACTTACTTTGTATCAGACATGATATTTAGCAGCTGAATAATATTCCAGATTGTGAGCTCATCATAATTTTATCAACTCTTTCTTCTGTTATTGGCATTCATTCTTCTCTTTATAACGAACTTCTTAGCTAGTTGCTTGTCTGCTGCTTTTGTTCCTCTCTTAGTTCTTTTTTTTTTTTTTTTTTTATGGCTGGCTCAGCCTGGGTCAGGCTGGCATAGCATGTAGTATGGTGTAGGGGATCGAACCTCGGTCCCTGCACTTTGTCTAATCTTGCCTAAGCAGGCGCTTTAGACCACCTAGCTATCTCACTGGTCCCCCTCTCTTAGTGCTCCATATTCATTTCCCCTGTTTTACTTTATCATATTAAAACCGGCCGGCTCCAAGGCCCCAGGACACAGGTGAGCGAGGGCACTGGCCAGGTGACCTCTGCTGGCTCTCCCGCCTGTCTCGTCCCCTCGCACTCGGCCCTGAGCTTTCAGCGCACCCGCCCCTCTCCGCTTTACCCATTCAGCTTCTCCATCAGCATGGGGCAGATCCTGTTGCGGCTGTCCTTGATTTCCATCAGCAGTATGAGGTCACAGCGTTTGATGATCTGCAGAGAGAATTCCCGGGGGATTGAGGCCATTTGCTGGAAATCATATACCTTCAGTTGGTCCTTACTGCATTCTGTACCTGAATACTCATGGTCCAGAGCCCTTGACCACAATGCCCTGCACACCCTTTGTGGTGGCTTTGCTGGGGTAATTGTAATTTTGGTCATGAATATTTATTAAGTCATTAATAAGTAAAAGTATCACTTTGGATCCTGAAGAAATGAGACAGTATAATGACAATAATTATATGAGCTAACATTTATTGTCAGTCTAATCTGTACTTCACAACAATGCTAGTCCATATAATCATTAGCCTCTTATTTATTTATTACTTTTATTATTATTTTAATTTAATTTTATTTATTTGGTACAGGGTCTTGCTATGCAGCTTGGACTCATAGTGATCCTCCTGTCTCAGCCTCCCCAGCCCTGGGATTACAGGGGTGTGCCATCACACCTGGTTTCAGTGGCTGGCTCTGCATGGGACTGGCACGTCATGTGATACTGGGGATCGAATCTGGGTCCTTGCTCTTGCCAGGCAGGCACTTAGACCACCAAGCTATCTCCCTGGCCTGCATTAGCCTCTTAAACCAAGATGGAAACCAAGGCCAGAGTGGTTGAGTGACTGCTTAAAGTCACACAGCAAAGATAAATCAAAGAGCCAAAGTTTGGCCTGTGAATACAAAGACCACCATGCTAAACTATTAAACTACAATCTCTGCTCTCAAAAACTCATACTCCAAGGCCAGGGAGATGGTTCAGTGGAATAAGTGCTTCCCTGGCAAGTGCAAGGGCCTGAGTTCAATCCCCGGTTCCACAAAAAAACAAACAAACAAACAAAAAAAAAAACCAAACAAAAAAACCCTCATACTCCAGTGAGGAAGGCAAATAAAAATCACTAGCTACCACAGGAGGCAAATGACATTCATGCTAAATAGGAGTTGTACCCCATGCATAATGGCAATAATTCTGCTTCTGCCCAGAGGATCAGGGAAGGCTCCCAAGAGGAGGATACATTTGTGCAGTCTCTGACCGATTAGAAGTTGAGCAAGACAGGGTCACGAGCCAGACTCCTTGCGTGGACCAGGGTATGTCCGAGCCCAGGTACCCGGGTGACCACTCAGGCCCTTCTGTGTGTGGGGTCCTGGTGACTCAGTGCCTTAGCATTTGCTGGCCAAGGAGAAAGTATCCCCTAGTTAAATTATCCTCTTAGGTGGCTGCCAAAGGCACAGAGGAGGAGGAATATGGCCCTGCCCTCTACTTCCAGAGCCTGTGTTCGGGCGCCCCGTCCCAGAGGCTCAGCTGTAAGCACGGGCCCAGCTGGAGCTCCACCGTGGACGGGCCGAGGAGGCAGCAGCGCTGTGCCTCGCATCCGCAGCCTGCCATCCGCTCTCGGAACCCACAGCCTCAGCCACGCAGCGCTCGCCCCGGAGCCGCACAACCCGTGGATAATGACAATGACTCTGTCAAGCTGGCCTGCTAACTCCTGACACAGCCGCTGTTGACCGGCAGACCTAGGAGCACACAAAATTGAATGGTTTTGTATTTGGGGATACTCAGGTTGTTGCTAGTATTTTCGGGGCAACACGTCTTCCTCTTTGCCCTGCACAAGTACTAGGACAAGGCACTAGGTAGCGTTAAAAGTCCCATTTCAGAAGAATGGTACCACCATGGGAAATACTTTCAGTATAAAAGCATAATACAAAACTGACGGATAAGATGGTAACAATGCTATAAAAATAGATACAGGCTTACATATTTATTTTGGCATAGAAAAATTTCCCTAAGAAAATCTCCCAATTCCAATGGATTTTATCTTCAAGCAAGGAGATAGTGTTTGTTGTTCCTTCTTTATATGTTTCCATGTTTTCAAAATAGTCCACAATGATCTTTTAATCTCATAAAAGTATTTTACAATTATAAAGAAATTTGTGCTTTAAATTTTCTTTATACTTAAAAAATTGAAGTATAATTTTAAAAAAGAAACTGCTTTCAAGGAAGGAAATATGGAGCGGGAGATGGTGCCAGGATTTATCATAAAATGACAGGCACGTTTCTAACTTGCATGGTATAAGTTAATGAGTTGTCCTATGTGAGGTACCCATGACAGTGCCCAGCACATGGGGGACTTGGTGAAAGCCTCTCTTAGGCTGACACTGATTTCCATTACTGCCCTCAGAAGTGGCCCTCTTAACGATCTCACCACACGCCCTGATTGCACCGAGTCTCACCAAGTGCTAGCCGTCTGAACCCCAAGGGGAGGCAGGAGACTAGCACATCCGGTCCAGCACCCGCTCTGCACAGATGCACTTAATGGAGGTCAGCATGTCCTTGCGATCGCTCCTCCTCCAAGGCCAAGGTCCCCTTTCGTGTGTGACCCACGCGTACAGAGCAGATGCAGGGCGTGGGTTCAGACTCCCTGAGTAGAAGGTTTGGGCTTCAGATTTCCTGTTTACAAGCCCGTTCCTCGCTTAGCAAGCACTTCTGAATCCCTGTCTCCAGATGCTACTGATTTGCACTTCCTCGATATCTGGGGAATATTTCCTGTAAACAGAGATCGACGCTGCAGTGAGCGATAGCCCAAGATCTCCCTGTCGGAGTTCTCCTGGGAAGGGACCCTGTCATTTGGCCTGCTGCCCTCCACCTGCCCATCTAACCATCCTTCCACCCATCTGTCCATCTGCTGGTTCACCCATCTGACAACATTTTGTCACAGGCCAGCTGTGTGCCAGACCACAGGGGAGGCCTGGCTTTCTATGTGACTTTAACCCCAGCTTCTGCCAGAGCACCTGGAATGAGCGAAAGAAAGGGAACAGAAGAACATTCTGGAACCAGCTGAGAGGCAGAATTCACGAAGCACAAACATCTTCTTGCCTTTAAAAAAAATTCTTCCTATGGCATTGAAAAAAAAAAAGGGGGGAATAAGTTTCTATTCCTTTCTTTTAAAGATATTTTTGTGCGCCAGGGGGTGTAGCTCAGTGGTAGAGAACATGCTCAGCTTATATAAGGGTTCAGTCACTAGCACCACACACAAAAAATGTTTTTGCTATAATTTTCTAATTATAAAAATAATGTTGCTTATTGTAGAGAATCTGGAAAATTCTCAGAAAATACAGAAAAGAGTATACAAGTATCACATGACCGATAACACCATCATTCAAACCTTTCCCCAGATGATTTCTATACTTATTTGCAAAACTGACATCACAATGACGAGTCCCTTGGCTCCCACTGTGGACTTAGGGCTTGTATCTTGACCTTATGTGGCCACTTGTGCAACTTTCTCAAGGTCACTTAAGAAACACCTAGATTCCTCATCTATGACCTAAGGACACAAGAGTAATTTTTGACCTGTATGGGATCATAATAGGAATTAAAAGACATGGTGGATATAAAAGGCTAAAAAAAAAGAAAAAAGAAAAAAATTCTAATTTAGGACATGTGTCAATAAGATCATGCTATCAGTAACTTTTTCTAAAATACAATGAAATAAATTACTGCAAATGAAAAAAAAAAAAAGAAAGAAAATGCTCAAAACCCATCTGCTGCACAGAACAGGCACTCAGTAAACAGCGGAAACCTTTATCATACAGCTTCAATCTTGCTTAACATGATGTTGCAGGTTTCTCTCATTGTCATTATGTATTCAGTCTTCAAGGTGAATGTTGACACGTTGTCCTTGCTCTAATTTCAGCCCAGGGGACTGGGGAAAATCTTGTTTCTCCTGACTCAGTCTCCCAAGGAGAAAACTCTGAGGCTGGGGTTCCTAGCCCAGAAACTCTGAGATTGTGGTGGTAAAAGCTAAATTTCTGACTGTTTACAGAGAGGTCAGAGGGTTTATAGGGTCTCGCATGGTTAGTGTAAATGGATGCTGGCCACAGGCAAAAAGAGCTGGGCTGGGAGAGGGGAAGGGACAGTTTGAAGGGCCTACGAATATCTTGGGCTGTGAGTGGAATCATACTCCATGTCTCCAATTATGGAGCAGCATCGCATGGAAGGGGAGACTCTGGACCTCACAACCTTGGGTGACTCATGTCACTTCCTTGGGCCGCCGTTGCTTCATCACAACAGTGGTCACGAGGCTGAACCCTAGTAAAGGCCCAGCCCACAGTAAAAGCTCCAGCAATGCTGGGCTGTGCTCTGGGCCCAGGGAGACGGTGTCTGGGGTTTCCCACACCCACCAGCATGTCCCCATTCCCTGGGAAGCCTGGCACATGGCTCCCTTCAGCGAGCAGCTGTTGGGTGAATAAGCTCTGCTCATAGACACAAACCCAAGAATATGGGCAGAATGAGACTTGCCCAGGCGTAAATAGACATCTAGACCCCTGTCTACAGCAGGGGCGGACGAGCCCAGATAGAGAAGGCAGCCTCCCCCTCTCTCCAGCCTGCCCCGTGAAAGTCAGAATGACCATCATGCAGTGTGTTGAGTTGATCTCAAAAGGAGAAATCCCTACTGGAAGGCTGGAGGTGGCATCTCTGCTTACATGGACAGTTATATGACTGGGTTTACTCCTGGCTCTTTCTCTCGCTAGCTATGGAATCCTGGAGAAGTCACTCTGTCCTCTGAGCCTCAGTTCCTCAGTTATAAAGTAGGGAAATGCCACATTTATCACAACGTTAAGTAAGAATGTAAGAGTCTTGGCCTGAGATCTAGTTGGTACTCAGTCAGGGGCCCTGGAATCACAATTTTGAATGCCTGGCATTAGGAGTTAACTGTTACTGCCTCTTAAGAGACGCTGGCAGTGCTTTGAATGGCCTCTGTCTGCAGGATGTTTTATGGCAATGGGAAGGGTGAGGTGGCCTTGACAGAGACTTTAGACACATTGGGCAGGACAGAGCAGCTCGGGGGAGATGCAGTGTGTGGGAAGGACACCAGTACAGAACCAAAAACAACTCCTAAGACTGATGGTATTTCCAGGATTGAGTGAGAAAGGGTTGGAAACTCGGTAGGTTTTTGGCTTCATGTGGCCACTTCTGAAGAATCAGGGACAAAGTTTCCTTGTGCATCAGAATTACCTGTTGAGCCACAACGTGATAGCTCCCACAGGCTTGGCATGCCTGCCTGGGTAAACAACCTCTAGATGCCCTTGGGTACTGTCCAAAGGGCAGGGCCACGGAGGGTAGAAGACCAGCTAAGTCAAAAGACAGCTGCCAGTCCTCGCTGGCATCATCTCTACCTGCCACTAACACAGGGATGTATCCTAGGACTGGCTCTGCCAAAGCCTTGATTGCTGGGGCTCTCAGCCAACCCAAGCTGCAGGTGGTGTGGTCACATCTCACAGGGTGTTCAGGAGGTAAAGGGACCCCTGAGTTCTTGCAGCTGATGGGTGGGACCCAGGGCTCTTGGCAATCCCACCACACCTCTGGAGTTTTCTAAGGTAATAATCACCCAGCAGAGTCCTGGGAAAGGTTCTATCTCCCAGCATCAAAAATAAACCTGCAGGAAAGAGTCAACTGACTCCAGAGAAATGTGAGCAGCTTCCCCAGACACTAGGCATCTTATCCCAGAGCAGTATTATCTAGGCTGAGAGAGTAGGACTGAGAGTTAAGAGGTTGATGGAGGGGGTAGAGAGGGGGAGGGGACAGAAGGAAGGGAGGAAAAGGGAGGGAGAAAGAGAACACGCATCGTTGCTGGTTAGGAAGATCCGGCTAGGCCGGCATCCCAGCTCTCAGCCACCCACCAACTCTGCAGTGCCATAGGGTGACTGTCCCTCTCTTTATCATCTCTGCGTGGGGAATAAGAGTCTGTTCTCATGATAATGATGACACAAAATCATGTATTTATAGTGCCTGACACACGCATTCAATAAAGGGTCATGGAAACCATCATACTAGCCAGCCAGTCATTATCTGGAACTTACTATGAGCCAGGTGCCGTGCTGAAACCTCACCTTAGATTTCTGTATGCAGGTAGTCTCACAGCGTACCTATAAGAAACACTGTAGCCAAGACAGAGGTGCCAGGTGCCAAGAGGTGAGGTGGGTACTATAATTGTTCTTATCATGGCTAAATTCCAGGGTGGCTTCTGTCTTTACCTGGAGGGCAAACTAGTTAAATTCTTCCCAATTTGGAGTTAGGGAGAGGGCAGGAGGGGAGTCCAGCATCCCTCCTGTGGAATGGGGCTCACCTTCACAATGACATCCATGGCGTTTTGGTTTTGCTTCTTGCTTTCCCCAAAGGACCTCACGTTGAAGGAGCAGAGCTTCAGGGTCAGGGCGCTGTGGAGGGCGAGGAGGAGAAGCAGCAGGGACGGCAGAGTCCGGGCCATCCTGGTGCTCCTGAGGCTCTCGGCCAGGTGTGAAGCCATAATACAGAGCTGCAGGCTCCTGCCACCTTCTGGCTCCCTGATTTATAAAGCCTGCTGATGATAACAGGAATTACTGGATTCCTCTTTGCTACTTTCACTTCTCTGAGGAACTGCAGATCATGGGTTTTAATCCCCAAGGAAATGAAGAGACTGCACTTGCCTTTTATGAGCTCTGTTTTTGTCACCCGGGTGAGGAAATTAGCATGCTTAATTTAGGCACCATCCCCCACAATGTCATTCATATTCCCAGCTCCAACCTTTGGCTACCTCTCCTGAGATCGCATGCCTTCGGCATGGATGAGCTTGGGAGTGCATCCACGCAGAGGGCTCCCGGGATGGTGGGGACTTCTATGGGGGGCCATGAGGCTCGTGGGCAGTGGAAAACCCTGCCAGGTTTCCTCTCAACCTCTGGGATTTGGTGGCCAGCTGTCCCTGGGCACACCCAGGGAATGATTCTCTAACCACCCTGATGGTGCAAATTAAGTTCAAGTTTAGTTTGAGTTACATAATTTTCTAGGCAGTTTTATGGTACACAGTTTAACCCACCAAATCCCAGCAGTGGTGCGGCAACGATTGCTGAGCTGCTAGAAAGGGTTAAATGTGCTCGTGATACAGGAAGGAGGGTCTTCAGGCCCAGAGATGGCAGCAACAAGCCTGGGCTGAGCAATAAGAGCACACACACTCCTGCAAAGGCAAAGCTTGACTGGGGAGAGGGCATCAGGGACGGGGCAGGAAAGTGACCAAGCTGCCACTCCCATAAGAAAAGAGCAGTAGGTTTTTGTTGATTGCGGGGGTGGGCTGAACTGTGGTAATCCCCACTGGCCAAGGGCCTGGTGACAAGAGATGCTTCTCAAGATGGGCCTGAACATCTGGGCGATGATAGTCAACTTGACCTAGAGGCCATTGAATTCTCGTGTATCTGGCGCTCATCGTCCTGTGCACAACATGCTGGCCTTGGGGGTCTGAGTCCCATTTTAAGAGGCAGTTTAGCTTATGCAGAGGCCACTAGAAAGGCATAAGGACTAAGACAGAGTCAGGCCAGTGGTCAGCATTGTATTTCTGGAAAACACCTTCCTTCACTACCTGCTTTTTGTCTGCAATTTCATTCTTCCACGTTGGGAGGCAGCAGTCTGGTCTGCACTGTTTCATGACAACAGAACTGAAAGACTTTACCCAGGCGGCTTTAGCGGCTCTGAGTAAGTATAAGCATAGGGGCAGAAAAGAGGGGAGAGAGACCGGAAAGGGAAACACCAGCTCCAGTGGACAATGGGCCAAGTTAAGCCCATGTCATAGTCTTGGGCTAACCACGTCGTCGCAGCGATCTATGTGTTTACCCACAGGGCCGAGCAGCATCGGACCCAAGGGTTGAGAAATTAAAGGGCACAGACAATATGAAGACAGAGATGTGAGGCCTTTTGTCCTATTTTAGGCACTGATCAGAGTTCAGGAAGCTTGGGGCTGGGGGTATAGCTCAGTGGCATAAGCTCCTGCCTGGCAAGCACAAGGTCCTGCGTTTGATTCCCCAGTACCCTCAAAAGAAAAGAAAATTAGATGGTGGTACCTGAATGTGGACATACTTGCCTCCCACCCCAGCCCTTAATCGTTAAAAAAAAAAAAAAAAAGATTTCAGGAAGCTCACACGAGGTGGGTAAAAGGTCTGTGTTTGAAGCAGATGTGGTCTTTGAACCCCTGGAAAGTAGCCCAGGTAACGTACATCAGAACCTACATGTCAGAGACATTATTATAGCAAAGTTGATAGGAAGCTCACAGCATACTGCCCCAGGAGAGACCGCCAACATGAGGGACTTGTCAGCTGACTGAGAGCAAGTGAAATCAGAGGGCTTGTTCAGGATTTTCGTGGGGAGCAATTTCTGTCTTCATGGACACATTCTCCTTCTGCGGCTTTATCAGAGTCTCATAGTCTGTCTGTTAAAACATGTCATGTACAGCGGGTAATAGCTTATTGCTCCTAGAGGTTTGTTTTGCTGTCCCAACCTCTGTCCCATCGTGGTCCCACTAAGGCAGTTTCTGTGAACAAATAGCCAGTGTCAGCTCCCGATTTGACCCAACTTTTTAATGTTCCTGAGAGCTCTGTGACCCTGAGAGAGGAAGTTTTTGTAGGAAGTGTAGGACTTCAGCTCAAGTGAAATGACTCTTAGAGATCTGGGCAGGAAGATATCAAGATCTGAAAAGCAAAGAGGTGCCAAGTTTATTCTGGTGATCTGGGGGCTTTGGAAAGAACAAGTCTGTAAGAAAAAGGTTGGAACAGGAACAACTTGCTGTGAGCCTTGAGGTCTTGGGACGCCCCTCTGCAGAGATGGTGTCTGTCTGGAGCCTCGGGGAAAAGTGTACCGGCTCGCCAGCCAGGTGGCCGACGTGTATGAG